TATATATGTGCACTGCGCTATAAACTTTCTATATGCTAAAACACATTCAAAATGGAAACAAATTAGTGCTGGGAATTGGTAAATTACAGTAAACCCCGGCAAAAGCCGTCACTCCCAAAAACACCGAAACTTCTATAACATGATATGTTTAACAGGATTCTACCACCTGAATACTTCAGTACCAAACATGTCATACTTTTTGACCGATTGCAGTGCAGATACAAAAGCAAATGTGATTGGTTAACGTTTTGAAAGTTCAACCTCGTTGCTTTGCATTCCATACGAAAGCAGAGTATCATACTGCCTGTCATGCCTAGCTGTCACAAGTCGTACATCATTGGCGAGATGCGAAAGCTTCTCGCATTCGTTCGACGAACTGAACATCAGTTACCGCCTTTTGCCAACGAAACAGCATCCCAAGAAGCACGTGAATTGGGTGACGTGACAGGTCGAAGCTGTCGCACGCAATCACGCCAGCGGAAGACTCTAGGTGGACAAGGCCTACATATACATGCCATAATCCCGTTCAAGCGCAAGCTAGGCAGCTTCATGAAGGACATACGACGCGATGAGCACGATCTGACCTCAATGCACATAATTACGTTCACAAAGACATATTTTGCGACATGACTTGAAGACTACTACAAAGCAGCAAAAAAAGATATGTACTGATCTCCCCCCACTTCGAAACGGAGCACAATATGCATATTACACAGTAAATAAAATTATACAGGTACCCTTTACTACAACAATAAACCATTCTCCATCATTTGAATACACCCAAAGAATATAAGTTTACAAAAATTATCAAGTTTGACCCGTTTCGAAGTCGGGGGGAGATCAGTGCTGTACAAATCTCTCCTCTTCAAGTTGGCTCTCTGTGCAAGGTGTGTTTCACCCGCACTTAAGAGGGATCAAGCCACCTGGCTCTGTGGCCAACCAATGGCCTCTCCTTGGTGTCCCAGCCAATCAGAGGCCGCCACCGTATAGCTTGTCCATGAATGGTGGGAACTCCCTGCACAACTCGTCTATAATCTTACTCTTCATTCTTTCCTGTTGTGCACTCTGGTCCTCTTGGGCTCTCGCACAGCACTACTCCTCGCTTCTCCGACTCCCCAAGTGCTTGGGCCTACTTTGCCCTCCCGTGACAGGTTATGAGCCCTCACGCCTCCTCTGCGCCTATCTACAATGGGTCTCCTCTGTAAAACCAGAGCCGCACTTTCCTAGAGTGGAAGCCGCTGTTCGTCAGCCAAGCCAATGGTCATGAATTACCCCGTCCTACACTACCAAAGGTTATATGCCAACTGATCTTGAACGCTCTATTTTGAGCATCCTGGACGACGACGTCAAAGTGGACAAGATTAAGCACCCTGAGCTATATGCTGTTGATCCGGACCACTTCGGCAATGTATTTGATGCTCGTCATAAGGAACTCGACGCTCACATATATTCGGTCAAGAGCGCTACGTTGAAGGCCGAAACAGCGAAAGCGTTGTCCCGTCTATGCTCCCTGGCACTCACTTTCATCAACTGTTCCATCGTAGACTCTTCTCGGAAGTTGAT